CGGAGCCCCCTCCCCCAGGCAGGCCCCCCTTCCACTAGGCCAGGTTGCTCCAAGCCCCTGCGTCCAACCTGGCCTTGAACACTGCCAGGGATAGGGCAGCCACAGCTTCTCTGGGCAACCTGTGCCAGGGCCTCAGCACCCTCACAGGGAAGAACTGCCTAAGAGCTCATTTCGATCTCCCCCCCGGCAGGTTAAAGCCATTCCCCTTGTCCTGTCCCTACAGGCCCTTGTCAAAAGCCCCTCTCCAGGTTTCTTGTAGCCCCTTTAGGCACTGGAGCTGCTCTAAGGTCTCCCCTTAAGGAGCCTTCTCTTCTCCAGGCTGAACCAGCCCAGCTCTCTCAGCCTGTCTCCAGAGCAGAGCTGCTCCAGCCCTTGCAGCATCTCCATGGCCTCCTCTGGACTCACTCCAACAGCTCCACATCCCTCTTCTGTTCTTGCCCCAGAGCTGGAGGCAGGACTGCAGGAGGAAAGTCTCAACAGAGTACAGCAGAGGGGGAAACATCTTCTCCCAGTGACTTGCCTACCCACCATTTCATGTCAACTTTATTTTCTTTTTAGTAAAAGGGGATGAAGAAGGATTACACTGCCAGCTGGGGAAAGGAATGACAATGGAACAGACTGATAAAGTAACTCAGTCATCCAGAAAGGAAGCTACAAGATGATGATTTGGGCAGAGTTTAAGTGAGGTACGAAATGCACAGAGCTGACTATCTGTCAGGTGCCTACCATCCATTTTTTCTGTCATGCATCTGTCTTTCTTTACAATATGGGAGGGTGATGATATTTGTATCTTCCCCCCAGTACACTTCGCTTATGTAGTACATTCATTTTTATTTAGCTTTCTTTATCTCCGGTGTTGTTAACACATAAAAGAATATTATCCTGACCAGTTCCTTCAGAACAGAAATGCCAAGCTCTAAGCTAGCTCACTACTGCCCAGAGCTGCATGGTTAAAGAAAAAAAAAAAAAAGAATAGAAAAATCAAAAAAAAGTGAAAAACTAGAATTTTCTCATAAGAATTCCACGTGCAAGATTTTTGCAAGTTCATCACATGCTCACAGTATTGCTTTATGTTTTCATTCTTCACATTACATCCTAATCTTGCTTCATTCCACCGTGAAACTGATACAGAAAACATCTAACAAATTTACTCTTGAAATACAAAACAAGAACACAAAATACAAACAGATGATCAGCCACAGTACTTCACAACACAATACACACGCCTGTATCCAAGTTCAAGACAGTGTAATAGAATGAACAGAATGAAACACTGGAATGCCATCCAGAGGGACCCTGACACGCTTGACAGGTGGGCCAGTACCGATCTCATGAAGTTCAACCAAGCCAAATGCAAGGTCCTACACCTGGGTTGGGGCAATCCCAGGCACAGCTACAGGTTGGGTGGAGAAGAGATTCAGACCAGCCCTGCAGAGAAGGACTTGGGGGTGTTGGTTGATGAGAAACTGAACATGAGCCGGCTTCAGTGTGCGCTTGCAGCCCAGAAACCAACTGTGTCCTGGGCTGCATCAAAAGAAGCGTGACCAGCAGGTCAAAGGAGGGGATCCTGCCCCTCCACTCTGCTCTCATGAGATGCCACTTGCAGTATTGTGTGCAGTTCTGGTGTCCCCAACATAAGAAGGACATGGAGCTGTTGGAGCAAGTCCAGACAAGGGCCACAAGGATGATAAGGGGGCTGGAGCACCTCCTGTATGAAGACAGGCTGAGAAAGTTGGGGCTGTTCAGCCTGGAGAAGAGAAGCTGCGTGGAGACCTCACAGCAGCCTTCCAGTATCTGAAGGGAGCCTATAAGGATGCTGGGGAAGGACTCTTTTATCAGGGACTGTAGTGGTAGGACAAGGGGTAATGGGTTTAAACTTAAACAGGGGAAGTTTAGATTAGATCTAAGGAAGAAGTTCTTTACAGTGAGGGTGGTGAGGCACTGGAATGGGTTGCCCAAGGAAGTTGTGAATGCTCCAATCCTGGCGGTGTTCAAGACATAGTTTAGTGTGTGGTGTCCCTGCCCATGGCAGGGGGGCTGGACCTAGATGCTCTTAAGGTCCTTTCCAACCCAAACCATTCTATGATTCTATGATAAATACCACTTGCAAAAGTTTTGTATGCCTTTCTACATTAATACACAGTTTAATGCCTTTTTGAGATCTTCAGACTATGACAAACAAGGAAAACGGACACATAATGCCACTTTCTGATACAAAGAAAGTGCATGAGCTCTGAAATAAATCCAACAGGTCACATCATTGGGAGTGTGCAAGCAGGTCTATGTAAATGCACACAGAAATGTGCAGATGCACAAATCTCTCAGACAGAATCCATGAATTTCAGTCTAAATACAATTTAAGAATGAGTGCCCAGAACTCAGTGGGATTTGGAGAATTTTCTGCCCAGTAGCAAACTACAGTCATTCTGAAATAGGCCATTACAGAACTAGACATCCATACTTGCTTCTGGATCTAAATTCCATCAATAGCTATGCTGTAATTATTTAAAAAGGCAAAAAAACCCAAACAATAAAATTCCCATAGAACATACCTCATGGAGGTTATACTGCTGATGAGCTTTTCAGATTGATCTGATAAGCTAGATGGAAGTATTATTTCAACTGGCTGCAGGCGCAAAACCCGACTCTCTAATTCTGAGCGAGATGCACAGTCCTGAAAACTGTCAAAAATCACTTCTCCAGTAGTTGGTTGGATTGCCTGTCAAATTTAAAAAAAATTAAAAAAAAAAAAAAAAAAATATTTTCAGGGGGTATTTCAGTGACTCACACTGTTAAGCCCAAAGATCATGGTGCATAGCACAAAATTATACAGCACCCACATGCTTAGTGAAAGTGGCAGATCAAAAGACACAACTGTGCTTTACAAATCTGTGATACAGTAATAATTTCAAAAGACTACCACAATTGTGTCTTAGTAAATAACAATATCTTAGGAAGGTAAATGTGCACTTGCTATCATCAGACCATCACTGTTCAACTTTTATTACTAGGCACATGTATGTAACTGGAAGTCTATAGAAGGTGCATGCAGTTCAGCCTGGAAACTCATCCTAGCACTCCCAGCTACAGTGTAACAGTCAAACACAAGCAAAATCAAGATGCTTTTAAATTAATGAATTACAAGCAGGCTGGTCTTCAGCTATCACTGTGTTTTGCAACTTAAATAATCATGGTTTTTATCTTCACCAGACAATTTTGAAGCGTGAACAGCAAAAAAGCTTGTCTCTTCCTCTAAAGAACAGTATTTCATAGTGGAAAAAAGTGCCCACAAGCTTTGAAACACTGACTCTAAAAATGTTTAAAGTTAGTAAAGCATCCAAGCTACTAATTTCCCTCCATTTGGTTCAAACACAGCTATGCTTTCAAGTGACTCAGCAGCAAAAACCGTATCAGGAATATTCAGCTATCAGCTCCAGCCCTTTCCTGTAGTTTTCAAATATAAAGCCATTGCAATTCACACAGAGATATCTTACCTAAACTGCACTTTGTTAAAAAAAAAACCCAAACAAACAAACAATAAACAAAAGTCCCAAGGAATCTAAAAGAACAATTATGAATTTAAGAAGACAACCACCCACCTCTCAAAAAACCCAAGAAAACAACACCCCAAAAAAATCCTTATGAACCCTAAAATACCGATTCCCCTGACAAACTGACTTACCATGATGCCTATAACAATGTCACCTTTCTTTCTGCCTTTCAAGTTTTCTCCATTTTCACAGATACAGAGGAGGTAGTTATCAGGGACATCTGTTGTTACATCTTCAACATCTAGAGAATCATCTAGCTTCAGCAAAGGGTTCACATGTAACAAATGTTAAAAAATAATAAGAGTACACAGACATTGGTGGATTATTCACATGTCCTTCTAGATCTAAGTCCTTCTCAAATATATTTTGTGACTCTTGCTCCAATTTTGGTGCTATGTCAAAAGTCTAACCAGCAGCTCGTTCTGCACATGGGCTGCTTCACCTTGCCACTTCGACTTTATATCCACAAACCATATGCATGCAACAATAAAAAATAACTGCATCCGTCATGTGGCAACTAAAAAGCAGACAATGAGTTAAGCAAAAGTCTAGATCTTAGCAGAAGCATTAGGTGCACTGAAAATTTGCTGCACATCTATCCACCAGCTTGGATCATACTCTTGAGCCTGCTTTCATCCATTTGCTAACCATTACAAGAAGGTCTGTAAGTATACTAGCAGTTTTCCAACAGAATCATCATAGAACCACCGACCGAAGGGTCCTTAAAGCTCAACCACTTCCATCCCCGTGCCACAGGCAGGGACACCTTCCATTAGACCAGGTTGCTCCAAGCCCTGTCCAACCTGGCCTTAAGCACTGCCAGGGATGGGGCAGCCACAGCTTCTCTGGGCAACCTGTGCCAGGGCCTCACCACCCTCACAGGGAAGAACTTCTTCCTAAGATCTCATCTCTGTCTCCCCACTGTCATTTTAACGCCATTCCCCTTGTCCTGTCCCTACAGGCCCTTGTCAAAAGCCCCTCCCCAGCTTTCTTGTAGCCCTTTTAGGCACCGGGAACTGCTCTAAGATGTCCCCTTAGGAAGCCTTCTCTTCTCCAGGCTGAACAAGCCCAGCTTTCTCAGCCTGTCTCCAGAGGAGAGTCACCCCAGCCTTAGCAGCATCCCTGTGGATCTACTGAAGTGCAACCTCATAGGTATTAATCTAACAATCTCTTTAATCTAACAATCTTTTGAGCTCTTGATATCTAGTAAGTACTAGTTTGAGAAATTAAAGAAAACCCCAAAGCATTAGCTAGATAAGACAGCAATTATTAAAACTAAGACTGGAAGGAATGAAATTAATAAAATAGCTTCATTTGTTAAAGGCTGTTTCTATCTCATTTTCTCTTTCACGTAACAGTCAGGAATTAATTACCTAGGTAGATTTTTAGCAGTCCATTGATTCTAGCACCTTTTCACTTTAAAGCAAATTGTTGACACCAGACAGCTAATTATTCTTCCTTCACACCCTCATGAATCACTAATGCTATGCATTCTCAATTTAGTGAAACATCTAGTTGAAGACAAGACCTACAGGACACTGTAGACTTGGGAAGTCTCCTCTCTGACTTCAGAAAGCAACTACAGTTAACACAGGCTCTGCTGTTTCACAACAAACCTAAAGCCCTGAAGAGATTAAATTCTTTATAAAGCCAGCATGTTGTTTACCATCACATAAAATTAAAAGAACTGCATTTCCTGCTGCCACTCTTTATGTCAGCTACTAGCTAGTCATGTTCCATCACGCTGGTAAGACTAGAATTACGTCCTTTCATACACCAAAGACTAGAGTCTGAAACCAAATTTATTTGAAAAAGGATATCTTCTCCAATAAGCGTAGACTTAGTGTAGAGAGCAGTAAGTTTCCGGCTGAAGAGAGAGCTTTTATTTTCTCCAGCAGCCTTCAGTGCTGCAGTTTCCATTTGTTTTATTACTCCAACCTACAGGCACACAAACAAGAAACAAAGTTAAATCTTTGATAATAAATGATTTTTTTTACTATTATAGAAATTTGGTGATCTTTTAAGATGTGCAAACAGCAAGTGAATCATTAAAGCTGAGCAGGAAGGGCAGAGGCTACTATCAATCCACCTAATGAGGCTATAAGGCACTGCTTTTCCTTACGCTCTTTCCACTTCCAACCACCCTTTCAACTTCTGACCCTGTGGCTTCTTGTCCTGTTTTGAAACAATTTAGCTAGAGTTCACCAACTGCCAGAGAATGATTGCTGTAATCAATCTAGATTCAACAGTCCTTTTCTCATAATGAGAAAAAAAAAAAACCTCAGAGGTATCAACAGAAAGCAACAGAATTACAGGGATCAACAATAGGAAGGAAAAGAGAAAGAAAAATATGGTTTGAGAGAAGAAAAACAGGGATGTGAGAAAGAATAGAAGAGAGAGAGGATATATAATACAATACAATATAATACGATGTATAAGTAATGTAATGTAATATATAATGTAATAGACAATATAATATACTATACTATGATATTATCGGATATTATATATGTAAACGTAATAAAACGTAATATAAAATATAATAAAGTATGGTAAGCTATAGTAGAACACAGTATAACATAACATAAAATCTCTATGAAATTCAAAGGTCTGATAAAAAAACCTGAAAGAACTGTTATAGAAAACATACTTTTCTGTAAAAGGGAGAAAGCTTCAATGTACTTAAATTCCATGACACCCCACAGAATACAGATATAGAAACAAAGGAAAGTTAGCCATATTAATCACAAAAAGAGGTGATAATGAGTTTCCCACTTGGCAGTTGAAATAAGGCTCTGATAGAATAAGTTATTTCAGTGTTATTCTTACTTAACATCATTTAATAAAAGCCAGGAATAACCTTATATCCTTTTGCTACAAGTCTCCGCACATGGACAAACAGTCTGTGACTCGGTATACTGGCAGTCATAAAGTTATGATCCTGATGACAATAAATGTTTAGTTCTTTAGCTGCAATCTGCAAAGTACAGGAAGAAGATTCAGCCAATAATTCAAAAGGCAATACTTATGCTCATCTCTATGACAACACTGATGCACAACTACAATTAAGAGTTGAATGTCAAAAGGAAAACATTACAGGGAAAAAAAAAATAACAGAGAGCTGGGCCCCTCCACCTTCCTGTCCCAGCATGTTGCCACCAACAGAGGCTTCAGTACCACAGACTTCTCATGCCAGATTATTATGCTGCACCTTGACCTTTACCACCATAAGGTAAGCCACCTACACCACATACACACAGATTCTGCAATACAGCTCAACAACGGGACAAATAATTTCCATAATGCTAAATATGCAGAAAGGAGTTATTTTAACTGCGGTTATTAAGCTTGCTGATCAATTATAATACTGAAAAATCTTTATCCAACAGCAGTGGAAGCTAAATACTTCACAGAATAAAAACAACAAAATAATAATATATCATTTGTATTTGCTTTTTTGCCCCTTGGCAAAAGGTAGGTGTACAATGACTAAGGAAAGCGTTCTTAAGCAGGAACTGCAGCCAAACACTTAACTGTGTACCTGGATAGTATATTTCTGATTCTGGACTATGACTGCACTGGCAAACAGCTAGACAAATTACCAGCACAAATCTGATCAGGAAAATTAATTCTCAGTAACTAAGCAGAGATTCTTCCTGGTCTCCAGTATGGAAACAGCATAGCTCAAAGGTTGGTAGCAATGATTTTGGGACAGATCACGAAAAAAACCCTCATTACAAACCATTTATGAACTTTAATTTTAAAATTAAGTTTGATGCAAAGTACTTTCCAGATCTACAGATCAGGCTAGGTGCCGCATGTGAACATGCATCTGAACGTTCTAGGACCTCATCTTAAGTTCTCAATATGCAGGACAGCAAGCATATGACTACAAAATAACAAATACTCATTTAGTAAAAAGTGTATGCAGAATGGATAGTCTTCAGTTTAAGTATGCAGAGCTATTTCATCTTGATTTCAAGTACTAAAAAACCACACCAAATTTATGCCTCTCAAAAACATTCATTCTTGAAGTGGCCACACACCTAGTACAACACTAACATAATGCAAATATCTTTCCATAGTCCTGACAAAAAAAAATTACCTCTGCATCTTCTCCAAAGAAGCGGTATTTGTAGCCACATTCCACGCATAAAACAGCATCTTTATACTGTTTCTTCATTTCTAGGAACTGAAGTTCTAGTGGAGTGTAAATGCTTTTGGTTCTCTTATTAAGAGTTGTATCTGAAGTATTCTGAGTATTTTCATATGACTTAAAAGATGCAGAAAACTGACTAAGGTGACAGCGTAACTCCTCCTGTAGATGGAAAAGAAGTTAGGAATTATTAAACAAATCAATCGCCCCTGCAGACCTTGGCTCACATTGACCATACAGCTAAAGACTGTTCTTGCATTAAATAGCCCCAAGAACTTCAGCAAAAGTAGGATATACAGAATACAGTTTATTTGAATTTAAAAGGAATTTAAAAGTCATGAAAGTGAAAGATTTTGCTTCACAGCTGTCCTCACACATTTCAGCTGAAATCAAATATCTATTGTATCATCAGCTCTCAAAACTCAGATCAAGAGACATGCAGGCTGCAAAGCCTGGGCAGCCTAAACAGGCCAGATATAAAAATAAAGATGAATAACCACTCCAATTTACAGATGAGACACTGCAGTGCAGAGAAATTAATAACATTCCAAAAATCCATGGCATATCAAGAAATAAACCAATTCTATTAGAAGTCTCAGTTCACTGTCTCAAGCTCCAAAACCAAGTTTCTTCTCCAGTCTGCCCTTCCTACATAAGCTCTGCAGACCTCCCAAAATAATTTATTCTAAAACACGGAAAATATATATTGCACTTTCTAAAACTCTTAAGAATTAAGGCTTTGAGACCACTGTCTCTGTGGTTTATGATTTACAATGACATTATGTAGCCTATGCTAGCCAAGCAACTTCAGCTCTACAATTTTCTTTTGTTCTGTACTGTAAGCAGGGTGGTGGATTCAGTCTTTTGGAACAACACTGATAAGGTGCGCTTCACTTACAGCAAATTTCCTCCTCACATATATCACAGTATCAACTGATAAACTTGGTTAAAAATAAAGTAAAATACAAAGACAATACCCTCCACAAGTTTAATATGACCTCATCTCTTTTTACACAGAAAATTACTTTAGCAAAGCATGTGAAATAAGGTCATGAAAGAAAGTAAAAGAAGTAAAAACACACATGAAAGTTGAATGGTTGGGATGGTAGTAAGTTACCAGCTTAAGGAATTCAGAAGGCATCCAGCACACAATGCCAGGAGCTCCAGGAAAATAACCACATAGAAACACTGGCCTGCTAGGCACTGCTGCACTATTTCATAACAGAACACCAAAATGCAAAGGGAATCTTGTGCCAAAGCTTGCCGTTTTAAACCATAAAAAAGTAATATGCACAGCACTAGACCAGAGTTCTACATACCTTCTGAGCAACCTTTGGGCTAGTGTCCCAGGACTGAGGAGGGCTTTTCAGTTCTGAACTTTTTCCAATAATACTTGGACATTTTTCCAAACTCAGAGATTCTCTCTTTTGAAAACTATCCTCCTGGTCTCTGTTACATTGCTGGTCCGAATCACTGCAGAATTCTCTCAGTCTGTCTAGAGTTTGCAAACATATACGGGGCTTTTCACACTTCTGAGGTTCTTTTTCAGTTAAAAAAAAAAACAGAACAAAAAACATATTAGCAACTTACTTTCTAAAACAGAATGTCTATTAGAATGACATCAGTAAGCAGAGAAAGCAATCATCTTGCTCTGTCACTCTAAGCTTTCCCCTCTCCCAGTGCAATATTTCTGCCAGCCAAACAGAATCGTGCAGGTAACCATCTTGATTAACTTCTCTGGAAAATTGATAATCCTCACCTGTATTCTTCTTCATACATTGGAAAAAGAAACACAATTATTTTCTGTATGGATAACTGCAAAGCCACAAAATCAGCCAAGAATACCGGAAAAGCCTAGTGGTATTTTTTCATTACAGTTTTTAAGGAGACTGTATTGCTAGTTGGTGTCCTAATGACACCTCAAATCACCATCACACCCACAAAACCAAATATAATTCCCTCTTTAAAAAGAACAGTGAGGTTAATACTTTTCAGTGAAGTGTAAGTGTAATGAACTTTATGTTCACTGATACGTTTTTCTGGTTTTCTACTAGCACCATTTACATTTGACAATAAAAGAGTTATTTATTGGATATAAATGCTTGAAGGTTCATTTACAGTAAACTCACTTTTATCCTGAGTCTTCAGTGGATTACAGATGTCTTCTAGAGTAATTTGTTGTACCTTAGTCTTCTTTTCACAGGGCTCACTGCTTTCATTTGATGTTGTCCTTCTCGTGCCAAATTCAGAAGCCTGACACATAAATTATACAAAGAAATTCAGTTACTTTTTCTCTTTGCTATCTTCCATGAAACACAACAAAGCACCCTACTATTCATAAAGAGATAGTGTGAAATTAATTTACAATACATGAAATCCGTATTTTACCTATCGACTTTTTTATTCATAAAATAGTTCATCTAACATTCAAGGCCACCAGAGGAAGTTAAATAGTGCATTCTGTGAAAAAGTTGGCTGTTGTGCTAAAAAGAAACACCTGCAGTTTCCATGGCTTCAAAAGGCAGCTTAGAGCTACCTCTCTGGCAGAAAACTGAACCAGCACTTTACAGACATTCCCACCATATCACAGCTGAGTATCTGTGTCTGAATCAGATCTCTTCTGCAAATCCGCATTTCCATAGTTCAGAGTCCTCTTCTTGTCCGATGCTGTCTATTCTCCTCTAAGAGGCACTTACGACTTCCTATGGCCTACATCCCAATGATGGAAGGGATTTACACCATCCTGTAAATGTTAACCCACACTTAAAAGACCTTCCTAAACTACCTGTAAACACCTATCTAGTATCATCCCCCATGTACAGAACACAGTACTTACAACCACTGCTCCTTAGAACGTTTTTGACACATGCACTTTTAACACTTCACAAACAGAAAATTCAACAATTTATTTTGTTTCATCTCTGATTCATCATTCATTTCATTGTTGATGACTTCTTTATTCATACTTATCAACAGAATGCAGTAAGTATGACTAAAGAAGTAAGTTGCAACTGCAAATATAAATACTCAACAGGTACTTTTAGCAGCTAGCATTCATGTTTCATAGAGTAATCTCAGATGGTTTTGAGTGTATTACCAGGGAAATTCAACCTCCTTATAACTACACAGTAACTCCACCCTCAACAACTTAAACCCATAACCTCTACACAACATACCCACACGCACAGCCCACGCGAGTGTCAGAGTTCCCCTTCCAAGTCCACTATTACATACCACCAGATTAACACTAATTAGAAAGCAATCTTTCTGCATGGGCAAAAAGTGGTAATCACACCTTACAAAATGTATTTGGCCCAAGATAACACAAAGGGTTGTCTTGAGACACAGGTGAAAAAAGCAGACACCTGGAAAGGGCCAGAAAGGGCTACAGACATTAACTACAGGGAGACTGGAAAACATAAACTCGTGATGAAACCCAGTTACTGAGAGACAGCATTTTTTTCCCAGCAGTGACATGGAGAGGCTGCTGGACCACTGCAGCTCTCTTGGCCTTGCACCAAACAGGAGACTGAGCTTCATGACTGGAGCAAGGGCCCAGGGGCAGAACCTGTGCCAGGGGGTCCAACACTGCTGCAGTGGAGAGAGGTGGCAAGCACTCGCTTTGCCAAGCTCACCGTACTCATGTAAAGCCTCAGGTCCTACAAAATGGGAGTAAGATGGCACTTCCCTGAAAGACTAGATATGACTACCCTGTGTTACACAACGCAAGGATGCTAAAGCAAGCAGTGGTTAAGCCAGAGACCCTGCCTGATGGGGGGGCC